GGAGGGAGGGGGGGGGGGCAGGAGTGTGGGAATAATTCTGATGTGGGGTTGACGGGATGACTAAAGCTGACTTTTGAAAGATCAGAAACCCAAAGCAAACCGCCACCGAGTTGATGCCAACTCATAGTGACTATAGGACAGGGCAGAACTGCCCCTGTGGGGTTCTGAGACTGCAACGCTCAGAAGTGGAGATTCTCGCCTTTCTCCCGTAGAGCAGCTGGTGATTTTGAACTGCTGACCTTGTGGTTAACAGCCACTGGGGCTCTTCTCTCCTTGCTAACTGTTATTAAACGACAGAGGAACAGGGATGGGTTCCGAAGGTCCAGGGCTCTGCGGGCCCCTGGGCTTTGCCCTGCTGGTCAGCGCTTTCTGGGTTCAGCTGGCTTTGGCCCTGGCCTAGTCCGTTACTCACCCCCGCCCCCCCTGCTCTCATTGTCATTGTTTGATTTCCCACTTCCTGCCCCTGGAGCCACCCCCACCCCCAAACATACACTTCCCCTTCCGAATTGATGCTGGCTTGCCTTCCTTTCCAAAAGATTGGTGGTCACCTCTCAGGTCTGAGTGGGTTTTGGAGCTGAGAGCAGCCCTGGTGGTGAAAGGGAGAGGCCAGGGTGACTCTGGCACTTGGCAGAGTGCAGAGGTGAGCAGGGCTGTAGACTGAGACCCCTGCTGTGGAGGGCAGCATCGAGGGGGACGTTGGGGAGGGGGACGTGGGGCCTGAGAGTGTCTGGGCCGGGGCATCAGGATGGCTGCCCTGGGAAGCAGGGTTGAGCCGCCCCAGTAGTTCTCTGGCGAAGTTTGGGGGGGCCTGTCATGTGCCCTGTCGGCTGTTTGGTAGTCACTGACTGACCTCTACTCTCTAGAAACCAGCAGCACCTTCCATGACCCCTCCTTTGTGACAACCTACACTGGGCCCCCAGATATTGCCACGTGCCCCCAGGGGCAAGATCGCTCCAGTTGGTTGAGGCATGGGCACATGAGGCCGGGCACTCCTTACGATAGAGAGGCATGTGGTCAGAGGGGCTGGGGGCGCCAGTATCAGGCCCTGCGGGCCCCTGGAAAGGCCTCAGAATAGAAGGGTGCTGGCTGCAGAGTTGGGAGCAGTGAGGAGCACGTTTGTCTTGCGGAGATAAGAAGGGGGCGGTTGTGAGGGTATCTGCCCCCAACCTGGCCTCCTGTGCTCCTGTGGCTTGGGGACAGAGCTGTCTTCTGGCATTTGCAGCATGTCCCCATTGGTTGGTCCCTGGACAAGCTCTGACCTAGCTGCTCTTTTCCTTCAGGCAAAGAGGGCTCCCCTGGTATGGAGCAAGGCCCTTTCTAACGAGGGCGCTTCCAGCCTGTGTGGATGTGCCGACATGCACCCGCGCGGGCGTCCTCTCACAAAACGGGTGACCCCGGCCGTGGCGAGCTCCCTGGGCTATCAGACTTGTGCAGGCACCCCAGGCTCCTCCTTCCTGGGACCCCAGTGCTTACCAGCCAGTGCTCACACAGCCACAGTTGGCCTGTGGGCTGTACAAGGACTGGTTTTCACCACCTGGATGGGGGGTAGGGGCTCCAAAAAGTTTGTAAAAAATGGAATCAACAGATAACTGGAAATTTCCCATTTTTTTTGCAGTCCCCTCCCCTGCCAATAGATTCTAGGCCTTTCTTCAAGAGGCATCTCTGGGTGGCCTCAAACCCTCCAGCCTTTGTTTTAGCAGCCAAACATGTTAGCTGTTGGCACCATGCAGGGACTCACCTGGGTGCCAGCTCCACTTACTGTGAGCCAGGCTTCACTTAGGCTGAGCATGCGGCAGGGCAGGGAGACCCAATTGGGCACACATCCTCCAGGCCTCCCACTGCCACTTACCAGGTGACCCAGCTGGGAAGTGCTGGTCCCTTTCTCCCAAGTTCCGTCCCCTCAGAGATTGCCAGGACAGGCTCCACTCCTCCCTCCTTCCTAGCTGAAAACTTGTCCCCAGATGCACCTCCCCAGTAGGGCCGGACTGCCTGCCCAGATCAGCATCCCCTACCCTATGTGTAATAAGTGGACACCCCCCTGGACACCGAGCCCTGGGAGAGGCAGGGACCTCTTTCCCTGTCCTCAGGCCTCTTCCTGGTTGCTGCCCAGCCACAGGACCGTGTCTCTGCCAGCCCCCTCTCTGCACTGTGCAGTGCACTGGGGTCCCCTGAGGATCTGGTTGATGGGCATACGTGACCTGCCCTCACTTGCCACCTTTCTGCCTATCACGAGGTCACTGGCTCCTTGGGGTCATCTAGTGGCCAGCACACACCCGCACCCTACCAGGCACCCTGACGTGCTGTCACGCAGCTGTCCTGTCTCCTTCGCTGGTGCCCTGAAGAGGAGGGTGGCTGCCCAGGTGGTGGTCAGGGAGCAGGCTTGGCAAGCTGCCATTGAAGGGAGCACTTTTCTCTGGGTCCAAGGTGGGAGGTCAGGCTTCGGAGTCGCGCAGACACCGAGGCAGCAGTCTCCTGGTTGAGCCCCGTCTGCTCTGTCTTCCAGGATTCTGAGGTCCAGCCTCACTGAGACGGTCCCAGCAAGAGCTCCCTGTGGCGGAGCCCCCCAAGAGCCGACCATGTCGATCGTGGACCACAGCCCCACCACGGGCGTGGTCACTGTCATCGTCATCCTCATTGCCATCGCTGCCCTGGGGGCCCTGATCCTGGGCTGCTGGTGCTACCTCCGGCTGCAGCGCATCGGCCAGTCAGAGGACGAGGAGAGCATCGTGGGTGATGGCGAGACCAAGGAGCCCTTCCTGCTGGTGCAGTATTCGGCCAAGGGGCCATGCGTCGAGCGGAAGGCCAAACTGACCCCCAATGGGCCCGAAGTGCACGGCTGAGCTGGAATACGAGGCAACGACGGGTGGGGTGGACCCACCGGCGCCCTGCTGCCCAAGAGGAAGGGCTGACATCTGCTGGCATGGCCTCAGCCGGCTTCGTCATCGCATGCACTGACTCCTGGGGTCCCAGTTCCCGGCCAGGACCTGCTGGCCATGGGCATGCCCTGGGCCTCCTGTTGGGCCGCCCATTGCTGGCAGTGGGCAGACCTGACTCGTTGGGGACTCATGTCCCTGAAGTGCTTTTGTTACTTGAGTGTTTAGCTGAGCCTGTGTTTAATGGCGCAACTACTGTAATGCGTGAACTAACCAACCTGTGAACTGTAAATACTCCCCCCAAAGCACGTGTTCATTTACCACCCAGAGCACCCGGATCTGGTTTGACTCCAGCCAACCTAAGGAACTGAGATGAATGGAGTCCAGACTGCGGGGAGGGCTTTAGACTTGGAAGGCCCAGGTTGCATTTGCAGGGCCCAGTATATGTGTATATATGAGTGAGAGTGAGTGAGTGTGTGTGTGTGTGTGTGTGTAAAGGAAGTGATGCATTGGCTGTGAAGCTGGGGTGCGTGGGGATTTCTGCTTGGGTAGCAGTGGCCGGAAGGACCGTGAGCGCTTCCTTCCCAGGTGGCTTCGGTCATGAGGCTGGTTGCTGATGCTAGTGGCAGGACTGCAAGGAAGCCACCGAACCTGCCCGGGAGCCAGTGACGGGCACGCCCAGTGGGTCCCGAGGGTTCCCAGCACTCCGGTGGCAGAGCAGTTTCTTGCCCCTTCGGTCTTCGCATGCCGAGTCCCCGTCCCTGCCCCCAGCTGTCCCCCCTATGCACAGGCTTCACTGCATTGCTTTGTCTCCATAGAAACACCAGCGCCAAGCTGCTCCTTTAGTCTAGAATCCAAGTGGCCTGGGAGGAGTTTTGTAATTGTTTGGGTTTTGTATTTGATGTTTCCTGCACTGGAGGGGAGGGGTTGTGGTTTGGGGTTTTTCCCCTCTTCTCCTTTTCACGTGTTCTCATCCGTTCTGCGTGTCACCACCCACTTGCCGGGCGGTGACTGTCCTTACCATCCCCGTCCCTGCATGCAGGCCAAGCGTGAGTCTGGGCCTCCGCTGGTCAGGTAGCACCTTGGGAGCTCATTTAGATGGTGGATTCCACCGCTGGTAGCACCTTGGGAACCATAGTGTGTAAATGCATCCTAGGTAGAAACAGGTGGCCGGGAGCATCAGGGCCAATGTGTGCCCAGGGCCACAGTCAGATGTTCTGGTTCCCTCTTCAGACCCAGGTGACACCCTCTAAAACCATGCTGACCAAGTATGCCTTTCAGAACCCAAGGGACGTGGTAGGAACACTCATTTTAGCAGTAGACACCTAAATTGGGGGGTGGGGCACACATTAAGTAACAGCTTGAAGGGGCCCATTAGGCAGTGTGGACTTACGTGGGACACCAGACAGGGAAGGCAGATTTAGAGGGCCTATGAGTCAGGCTTCCCATGGTTAGCAGTATAGAGCAGGCGCCCCTGGGGTATCAGTAATCAAATGCCACGGGGCCTCCAGGGTGAGGAGGAGGTACATCAGGTGGGTATGGCCCAGAGGCAGCAGCGGTCCAGCGGTTTGGAGTGGATGGACCCATGGTGCCTGTTGGGGTTTGGGGTGAGGCCTGCTTTCTAAGGGAGGAAGCTCAGAGCAGGAGTTAGGAAAGGCTGTGTGTTTGGACCTGGTGTCAGGGCAGCAGTGGTGACAAGGGCCCAGGCTGTGTGACCTGACACCCAAGGTTGTCCAGTGCTTGGTCCCAGGCCTACCCTGAGGTGGGCACTTGCCAGTGAAGTTTCATTTTCTGAAGAGCATTGCACTGCACTTTCTGGGGTTATCCCCCAGCCGCTGCTGGCTGCAGCATTATCCAGACCCATCAGAGCTTAGAGTGGAGGTGGGGGGGATGGGCTCCCAAGGGGACCTTGTAGAAGAAGATGGAATGTCTGCCAAGCTGGTAAGCCACCGCATGACTGTTCTAATGGCTGTCATTTGTCAAAAGTGGCTTTTTCCCCCCACAGGGACGCTAGAGCCACTCTCTTCAGGCTCAGAACAGTCATGACCCTCCATGATTCTTCCCGGACAGCTGACCCAGTCCTCCCATCCACGAGCCACTGTACAAGACCCTGTGCCTCAGACACCTTCCAGTGGACCACGCTGCTGTCCCGTCTCTGAGCACCCGTGTGTGCAATACGTGGGAAGGGTGCCATCCTACTCAAGTTACAGCCAAGTGGGTTTTCTAGACCACTGAGAAAAATCTTTATTTACAATAAATTTCAATAAAATTTGCATAAATACATTCCCAATGTACAGTTGCATGGCACTTGAAGGGCTAGTCTGTCCTGTTCTCAGCACTCATCTCAGGTGCCAGTGTGGCACTGGCATTGGGTGGGCTGCTGCCAGGTAAATGGGGGACACCTGCAGGCTCGGGCTGGTCGGGGTGCACTGCTTCCATGGGAACTTGCGTGCTTGTCGCACTCTCCCTGTTCTCCAGCCTCCTCTCCATGCTGGCAACCAGGAGTTTGAGCCATGCGTTCTCGGTGAGCAGGCTCTCTGAGGCGTCGGCCAGCTCCTGGAGCCTGCGCGCCACCTCCTCCAGCTCGCTGGTCTTCTGCTCGTAGAGCACCCGCAGCTGCTCACTGTGCAGCCGGAGCAGGCTGTGCTGCTGCTCCAGAGTCTGCTTCTGCCGCAGCAGCCGGTGCTCGTCTCTCCGGGCGCTGGCCAGCTGGGCCTCCACCTGCACCTGCGCAAGGTGCAGTGAGCTGATCTCCGCGCGCAGCTTCTGGATCTCTCGCTCCAGGTGGGAGATGTGGCCCTGCTGCAGGGCAGCCTCACTCCGCTGGCACTCAGGGGTCGGGGTGCTGGCCGGGCTCCAGGCAGGGTTTGAGTGATACAGGATGAACTTGAGCAGGTTGGGGAGGGTGATGGGGAGGTCTTCGGGAAACTTCACACTTAAGTCCTTTCTAGAGAGGGGAAAGGAGTTCAGGATGAGCACGGCAGCCAATGTTTTTATCCCACAAAAGGCAGCTCCAGGAGATGCCACTAAAGGCCAACCCATACCCACTGGGATTGAGTTGACTCCCACTCATAGTGACCCCTAAAAGGCAGGGTACAAGTGCTCCTTTAAGTTTCTAAAACTAAGTATGTGAGCAACAAGCCTCATCTTTCTCCCAGGGAGCACCTGGTGGGTCCAACCGAGACTAGCATTAGAAGCATAACCCACTCCGCTATCTACCAGGGCTCCCTGGCTGCCTCGCAGTGCCTCCTGACTGGAGTGGCCCGCAGCCACCACAGGGAGCAGCAGGACCACTGACCAGTCCAGTCCTGCTGCCTCTCACGTTGGGGCTTTAGCCCTAACACTGTTGCCCTAAAGAAGCTGGGTTTGAGTGGTCGGCATGGGGCCAGTTAGTTTCATATGTAAACCGGCGCACCGGGAGCAGGCTGGGATTCTGCAGCCATTGGCTGAGGGCTCACAGCGCGCTTGGGGAACCCCTGCCAGCTTGTGCTGGGGCAGGGTCATTCTGGACTTTGCCACGTCCCTTTGAAGGGTGGCGGTTACTGGCCCTTTGACGAAGGGGGCTGACCCCACAAGCAGAGCAGCCCAGAAGGCAGTGTAGTGTGAGGAAGGCGGCTGTTGACGCACTGAGGGCTTTTCCTGGGAGACCCACACTAAGATTTAGAGCTTCCTTTCCAGAACTTGCCAGTTAATGGTCTGACAGCCAACATTGCTACCATAGTGGCACACACTTGTGCATACACGATTTGGCCACCATACATCAAAACCAACAGTTTGACGCTTGAGGTGACCAAATGGTTGATTCGCCTTAGCTTGGCATCACGGGAAGGGTGTGCTTGGAGCCTGAAGCCGGCAGAGCACCCAGTCCAGGCCCTGCACTGCTGCTCGGTTCTCCTGAGTGAGCACAGTGGTGAAACGGCGACCAGCACACCACTGACTACCCAGGACCATGGTGAAGGCAAACGAGAGGCACTCCCTATTCCTTTAAAGCCCCCAGGAACCACTAATGAAAGTCTTCGCATACCACCCCACTAAGCCTGTGGCAGGCACCTCAAAAAGAAGGAAGGTGTTCTATGAATGGATAGCCACTCCTTCTCCTTGCCAAAAAATATATACATGCAATCAGCTGGGCCTCATTTTACAAGGGCTTATACAAATCTTTCAGGTCTTAAAAGTTCCCAGAATTTGAAACCCGACAGTGAAATGTGTTGTAAACTAGTTTGGGAGTAAGTATGTAACCAGCCCCTCCTCTAAAGTATACTTTAAAAAAATGTTCAGTCTTCTTCCAGTGGGGGAATCCAGCATTCAACCCACAAGGGAGCAGGCTGGCCTGGCATTGGGGCCTACAGCCGCAGGGAGCTGCTCAGACCACCTGGAACTGGCACTGCCAGCTGCTGTCGGACTTCCTGAGGAGTGTGCTAGAAGGCTCTCAAGCGTCAGCAGCAGTAGGCACCAAGTTTGGACATGATGCTTTCTAAGAAAGGAGTCATTTGGAAAGTGGTATGATGCTTGAAGCTCATTGGGAGGGGCTGTGTGCACCTCTAGCATGTAAAAGGTCCCCTGGGCAGGGCGATGGTTAAGCTCCCGACTAACCAAAGGGCCCTCCCTCTGGAGACACCTCGGACAACTGCTGAGCACACAGAAAGTTAGACACAAAAGATGACTGGGGTACAGGGTAATTCTCAAAAAAAGGAGCTAACTCGGTGGAGTGTGTAGCCCGGGCCCACCCCTGACTCTCCCTCCCTCCCTCCTTGAGGGCTGAGCCAGGGCACCTGCACTCTGAAATGTCACACAGTCTCACCAGGCAGGGCCCTGACTGACTGGGAACCTGGCTCTGAGATGCCCCTGCAGGGACACCAGGCCCCTTCACATGGCCGACCTCTCCCTATTTCTGAGGACGATGACCACTCCCCGCAAGAGCCACGGTCAACATCTGGATAGCTTGCCTGCACGCATGCCCAAGTTCAAGTGTGATTGCAGTGCATACCTAGTAGTATATTCTTTTCTTGGGAACCCTAAGAAGGGTCTCATTACATGGTATCAAGCAGCCTTTTCCCTTTCCTCCTCCATGACTTGTGAGCTTCCACCCCTGGGCAGAGCAAGCATTCAGTGTGGGGCAATCAACGCAGCCTCCCTGCCCCCCACCCGCCTTCTGACCCTCATAGGAACTCGACAACATCCACAGCAGCGCAAGCGGCACAAGGTCCTTCCAGTAAGACAAAACAGCCAGTCCTGATGCTTAGGGTCTACACTCCGGACCATCCACTTCCGGGAAAGCAGTAAGCGCGCCCAAGGGGGCCAGGTGGCGCTGTCTCTTAAGCATTGGACTACTAACCATGATGTCAACAGAGCAAAACCGTTGGTCAGAGGCTACCTGCTCTCTTGAGGATTCACAGCCTTGAAAACCCTGTATCGGGAGCTATGATCGGAACTGAGGTGATGAAAGTAGGGCTCCAGCAACTCCCCCTCCTCATGGCCACCTCCCAGGGTAGTTGTACACCCAAGGTCACTTGCCCCCAACTCAGGACCCCAACACCCACTTCGGTGCCTTGTCTCTGCTGCTCTCAGTGACTGATTCCACCGCTGGCTGAAGACGTCTTTGTGCAAAGGCACGTGCTGGGTGCTGACTTCAAGACCACGTTTGAAAATCTACCTCTCCCGATTGCATGAGGAGTTCTAAAATTACCCTTCACGCAATGTCATGCCCAGCCTCTGTCCCACAGAGCCTGCTGGTTTAACTGTCTCCGATTCCTTGGCTATGTGGCAACTTACACACTTCTTAGAAAACGGCCCATCACAGTAGTCAGCAGACGGAGTGAGTCACGTTTTTTTTTTAGTATGTGATTCCACAGAACCCTGCTAGCAAAGGAAGAATTGCCAGCAACGGTTCTTTGAGATAAAAAACCAAGGAGATGATTCTAAAGGAAGGCCTCTCTCCTGGAAAAGCATGCCAAGCAAGGCCCCACAGTGTCTGCGAAGCACCAGCACCGTGACAGGACCCCCGCCCTGATGGTACCACACAGCCTTCTACAGGACCCGGAAGGGCACCCAGCCTCCTATCAACAAGGGGTGGGGGTGGAGGGGCGCTACAGAGTGGGTGAGCATATTCATTTTAGTAGAAACGTCCGCTTCTCGGGAAGCATTCGCATGTTTCACTGTGAAGTCAGCTTCTCCGGTCCTCATGCCCATCCTTGCTTGCTGGGGTTTCCAAGTGACTTGCTGGAATAATTGAACTTGGAGTTCCTTTAGACACATGTGAAAGATCAAGGCATATGAGCCTGTGACAGACACTTGACACACACACGGGGTGGGAGGTGGTGGGTGAGGGGTGAGGGGTGTGTGTGTACGTGGTGCTTGGTGCACACTGTGCCCAGGCAGGACCGTGCAGTGGTTAAGAAAGCCTCCAGCATGGTCGCAGTGTGGACAACTGATGTGGCCACATGTCGAAAGCTCAGGGCATGCACAAGGCTCAAGGGACTGGCTGTTGGTTTCCCTCACATGTGGGGAGCACTTTTGACCAAGCTCTGCACCCTCACTGTGGGCAGCTGGGTCATGAAAGCTACCTGAACTCTAAGGACCTCATTGAGGCTCTAGTCAGAAACAGCGCGGGAAGCGCAGGTGCCTTACAATATCAACATCGTCTGAGACACTGTGACACCTAAGCCTTCCACCCTGTTTTTGGTTCCTAATAGCACTTCTGGGAACACTGCACTCAGAATAGTCAAACTACACTGACGTGATAATGGCAGTGACTGTAACAATTAACATCTTACTTTCCTGAAGTATCGTAAAGCTGTTTAATTCTCAGATCTCAACAAAAGAAACCCGTCTGCCCCAGCATCATAAGACCCAGCATTACCTGTTGCAGGGGAAAAATAAGACAGTTGGAAGACGGTCAACCATGAATTCCCAGGGAAGATCGTTCTGAGCGACATCAATTCTGTCAACGCAAAGACAAAGAACAGAAAGGGTCAAGGGGTAACCCAAGAAACTCCAGCTTTCTCAAAGAGCTGAAGGACCTGCAGTGGGCGTTTCCAACATGCACCGGGGCAGCCCTTTCCCGCCAGGGCGCCCCGATGCAGCCTGTTTACTCAGCTGAACACCTCCAGTGAAAATGGACTCCCAAGAAAATAGTTCGCTCGCCTAAGAGGCTCTGACCAAGTATTTTAGCTTCTGGAAAAGAATCACTGTGTTTGAGCAAAACATACTAAGAAGATGAGTGATTTGAAATGGGAAATCCAACCCTATTTGGCAGATTTCAGACTAGTGGCCAACTGCCCACCGTCAGTCTAAGACACGGCGGTATCAGCTGAAGCTGCTCATCGAGGGCCCGCTCTGGCAGCAAGCTCCTGCCACATGCTGGGGGACCAGGCCACCTCGGCCTCCTCGGGAGTGAGCACTGGCCTGTGGGCAAGGCTGCCAGGCCACAAGTCCAATCATGCCCACAGTCATAAATGGTGCAAACAGATGACCAGCATGCTGTGAGTCATGCTGGGATGGAGGTTTTCAGAAAGTATGACGGGGAAGTCAGTACTAGTCCCAAGGAGAGATGCACTTTAAAAAGCCGTGCGACTGTAGCCAGCTTTATACCTCCTAAACGAGTCGTGATGAATGCTCCATTATACAGCCAAACCTTTTTCCTCCTAACTTTTCCTTCAAAGAAAGGCCAAACTATAAAAATTAAAGAACGTGCCATAAAAATCCACGCAGGATCCCCCTGGGCTAGCCAACATGCATTCCAGAACTCGAGTTCAGGCTTGGTGTGTAGGTTCTCTTACAACCACCTCTGGGCAGTAACCATGCATTCAATTCAACCCCTTCCTGTTACACTGTATGTTCTCACTGTGGCTTGCTTGCCCGAGATTATATAAACTCGTGAGACAATACATTACTGTCTCATTCTGGCTTCAGTCTCCATCAGAAAAGGTGAGCCCTTCCTTGCACCTTTTGTTTCCGGTCTCTCTAATTTACCCTCCAATTACACAACTGCCCCAGAGGACCCATTTGGTTGTGGGGAGGCTGGTCCCCCACAGGTGGTGTGAATGGACAAGTGACCTAGCAGACAGCACTGTGAGGTTCAGGCAGAGTCCAGTCATGGGTGTCCTCGGGCGTGGCGATTATTACTATTACACACACCTGCTGCTCTCTAGCCTTGTTCTCATGGTACGTTCTTCTAGTGGAGGGGTCCATTCACCTTTGTGTGACTAACTGCTGCTATTCAGAACGTTGTCCTCTCTCAGAGGAACTAGCAAATCTAACATTCTTGGGTTTTTGCCCTGTGGTTTAATCTTTGTTTAGTTCTAATGTACTAATATACCTGGAGGTTTCCTGAATGTGGGGATGGAAGATAAACCATTCTCCTTCTAAGACTCAATACTTTTATTCAAAAACCCTTTTATTAGGTTCCTTTCCCAGGAACTATTTAAAATATTTGTTTGCTCAAAAGCCCATAGGCAGCGCTAATAAAATCAGAAACAACAGCACTTGGACGGTGACCTTTTTATTAATGAAGGCCCAGGTCAGTGACAGTCCAGCAAGCCTCACACGGCAGCCCAAGGCTCCTCGCTCACAGAACTGCACTTTCACACCTGAATCTCACCAGGGCTCCACCCATCCACCAAGGGAAACCAGGGAAGGAACATTCACTCCACTGGGAAAACATAGGCGTGGATTTTGCCCTTCCCTGACTTCAGGCTTCCCCTTGACAGTGAAGCTCCTCTGTCAAGTTCTGCCCAGCACAATGGGAAGCATGCCACCCAGCGAAGCTGCAGGGAAGCATGTGGGGGCATGAGTCCACAAGGCCACAGAGCAGCCCCCTTACCTGGCCACCGTGAATGAGTCCGCTGGCAGGAGCCGAGCCAGCTGGATAAAGACGTGATTGAGGGAGGGGCAGAAGCCGCACCACTGTGCATAATAAAGTAGCAAGACATCCTGTGGGACAAGACAGGCCATCAGGGGCTCCTCAATCCACCCTGCAACCACCCAACAAGTCGCTTCTGCAGGGACCATGATTCAAGACGTCATCTTCCCCATGATACATGTTCTAAGGACTTCACCATTAGAAGGTCACCTTGTAAACCACAACTGTCCCACAAGAAGATGACCTTATAGGCCTTCAAAAGGGAAAGGCTCTGAACTAGCCACCCCCCACCCCCACCCAACCCTGCCACCACCACCAGGCCCTTTTCTCCTGACTCCATACCTGCTTCTGGAGGACCACTTCCCAAAAGGTATCAGTTGTCACTTCAGTGATTAAATGCTGAGAAGGGTACTGGGCAGAGTCACTTCCAATAAGATGCCTTTTCAAGGGACTGTAGAGAATGCTGAAGTTCTGAATGAAAGACTCTACAAATAAAGAGAAAACAGGATCAAGCCGCCTCTTGGCATAGGGAGAGCGGCTGGCCTACTTTAAACTCCACGTTTTCAAAAAACGGGATGATGTGACTTGAAGACATAGTAAGAATTCTATCCTTTTTCTCTAGCTTGTTGGTCCACAGATAGCAGAGAGCCCTGCCACATCAGGGTCTCGAGAGACGGAAACCCTGTGGTTCTAAGACCGTGAGGTATGAACGACAAGCGCTGAGGCTCAGCAGCTACTGCAGGGCAGAGATCAGAGGATGGAAGGCGGAGCTTGAGGGCAAGCAGCTAGTCTGCTGGTGGTGGTTTCCTTTGGAAGAGGTCCTCAAGTGCCCTTTTTTAAAAAGAGATTAAGAAAAATAAGTAAGTTCAATTCTATTTCATGGGAAAGACATAAATAAAACCCACAAATCACTGAAATCACCCAACGACCAAACACGAACCACTAGTTTTGCTCGCCCTGCAACCACTGCCACCGGCAGCGTTTCCTTTCTGCCTCGTCTGAAGCGGCTCTCATCTGGCTTTGCTTTTCCCTTCTCCTGTCTGGCCCCTCCGAAGGGCCCAGCACACAAAGGAGTGCTCAGCAGAGAAGATGAAGGGAGGGTGCCCTGCGAATGCTGAAGAGGAGGATTACCTGCCAGCAGCTGAGTTACTGCAGGTGGCCTGATTTTTGAATATTAAAGGAGAATTATTTCCTAATCGGAACATAGCCTAAATTCTGCCCTAGACTTAGCTGGCAATGTCACACCGTAATGTGGCAATGTCACAATGTCTTTGGTTTTGTTTTTCTTTTAGAGAGTCCACCATGAGCTTTGATACCGATGACAACATAGTGACTGGCCACGCTGGACCGAGTTAGAATAGAAGTCTGAGGACAGCTTTCAGGTTCCCTTCCATTCTAAGTGAATGCATTTTGGCCTCATGGAATGTTCGAGTGTGACTGAAGAGAATTAGGAAAAACTCCATGACCATATCCTTAAAAAATACAAGGGTATTTCCATTTGTGAAAATTCGCATGCAGTCTGAGCATACCAAAGCGTAATTTTGGAAAGTACAGCTAGCACAATGGAAACAAATGGTGAAATATCAACAGTTAGGCATATCACAGAGTGACTGGTCACCATGGTCCACTAAACACTAGGAGCCCTGTTGTTTAAAACCATGATCTGGTGCGATCAGGAGCCCTTGTGTTTATAAACGAGAACACTTCACATCCCCTAAGTCTTTCCACAATGCGTCTAAGGCAGGGCACAAGCATCACCTGGACTTAAAGGAGATTGGGGGAAAGAGCTGCAGTTCCGGAGTTTTCTCAGTTCTCTTGCTTTCAGGCTAGTGGGTAGAAATTAGGTGTTTCTTTCCTTCCTGCCCACGTCATACCCCACCCCCCACCCCTGGTCAAGACTGGGTTTCAATGAGCTCCCGTTCCCTCAGGATGTCAGCAGAGTCCTGGGGACAGGGCAGTGTGGTCGCTTCACTGCTGCTGCCAAACCTTCAAGGCAAGTACGAGGGTGGATGGGGCATTGATAGGCTCCCCGCTCCAACCCTTCTCAGTGACCCTGCCCCACTGACCACAGCTCGTGCCATGCCTGAGAGATGCGACGCATGCCGCTGCTCTAGAATCGGACTCTCACCTCCCCAAGGGCTACGTGATGCACATATCTGCAGTGGGGACATGTAAAGTTTCTGGTCCATTAAACAGACTAATCCATGAGCAGCTGCAGGTTAAGGATAAGTGGAGCCAGAGCTCCCGGGAGATCCCCACGCCCAGAGCAAGGAGAGCCTGCACTGCAGTGGCTCATCTGCAAGTATGCAAGGAGCTGGGCCTGGGGAAGCAGTGCAGCCTGCAGTACCTAGGGTGAACTTCACCAGTGCTTGCTTGGGGTCCAGGATGTAGTGGGACTCTTCCTTCACATCCACGATGGCAGCAAACTCTCGCGATGGGGTGGCACTTGGAGCACCCAGCCGCTCTGCATACAACCAGAAAAGATTGGAATCCAGCAGGTACATGTTCAGGGTCTTGTTGGTCCTGCAGCTGAGACCTGTGAAGTGTGCGTCCGCCAGGTCCACCTCGGGGAAGAGGAAGCGGTTCTCCTCAATGTGAGGAACGGAGCTTGGACCGTTGGCCTCACATTTCTCCCCCAGGGAAGAGAAGCCAATGGCTGGGGCTTCAAAGACCTCGTCTGCAGCATCAATGAAGCCCGGCACAGGCCTGCTTATGGTCCTGCAACATGCAGTGTAGTAGCTGAAAGGGCTGTAGGAGCTTAAAAAGTTGCTGCACTCTATGCTGCCTGATGCCACGTGGTAAAAGGTCTGTTCCTTGAGGTAGAAGGAATCCAGTGCGGCCGACATCTCGAAGAAGCTGCACTGTGGCATGCTGACTGAGCTGGGCTTGACACCCCCGCTGCTCTGGTTGACACAGAGCTCACACACGTTGTGGGTCCTGGACATGGCATGCCACTGGGGCAGCACCACAGTGTTGCAGCAGGGAGATGCAGCGATCTGCGGGGGGGCTGCCAGCAGTGCGGGTACCTCGGGGGCCAGCGTCTCCACCACAGGCGCATCCCCACGCCTCAGGTGCTGCAGGAGCCGCTCCACCACCTGGTCCCCATGACAGTTGTTGTACTCCAAGGCCACTTCGGTGATCTGAAACACAGGAGCAGCTGGTGAGGGGGACAAATACGCCATACACCCACCAACACCACAGGCCTGGGCTACCCTCCAGAGACAGCATCCTTGTGTCTGAGGACCAATCGTCTCGCTCAGCGGCACAGGGCACTCTGCGAACAGACCAAGAGGGGTGCTCTGAGAGACAGGCAGGGTCGAGCACTGTCCTTCCACCGACAAGAGCAGAGCCCAGGAGAGGAGCTGCTCATCCGGGACCCAAGAACAGTTTTACTCTGACTCCAACATGGGACACACTTTGCACTGTCACACTGCAACTACCCACCACTGTGTCTTCTGTCACAATCTTTATTGCAGACCATAGTCTGAATGCAGTTTCCCAAAGTGGGCGATAGTGTCTCTGAGCATTGGTGGTGGGCGGCCCTCACTGGAATGGTCCAGGAAGGCTGCAAAAGCAGATGCTTACCCTTTAGAGAGCCTATGCCCCAACCCCCAAGCCCACTGCCACTCACAGTGCCTCGAGGAGGGTCTCCAAGAACGTACATCTCTACAGGAGCAGACAGCCTCCTCTTGCTCCCTGGGAGCAGCTTACACCACCAACCTTGGGGTCAGCAACCCAATGCCTAACCCATGGCGCCACCTGGACTCAGAGCACACGCAGTCCTGAGTAAAAAGTCAATCCGATCCACACATAGCTCAGCCCCACTGTCCCCTCCCTCCCCTGGCTCCACCTTCTCCTCGAGCACTCTCTCCCTGACAATGGCACCATGGAGCTAGAAACTCGGTAGGCTCCAGTATCTGCAGCCACTGCCTGCTTTGCCATAGGCCCCTTCTCCCTGTTGCCTCACCTGTCACACACCACCATCATTTTCCTTCCCTACTGAGGTGGTTACATAATTTCATGTCAACCTGAAGTGTAGTGGTGAAGTCTAGCCTGTCAATCAGATCACACAGCCTGATGGTGCCTCCTTGTGGGCATGACCTCCTAAGGAGGGTCCTGGGAACCTCCCCCTCTCACTCTGCTTCACCTTCCTGCTGGGGAGCCTCTAGGAGACCTGCCAGGGACCTGCTAAAGCCCTGGAGATGCGTCCACCACTGTTGGATCCACCGGACTTTGCACCCACCTGCTTGTGATCTTCCTGCATTCTAATCATCGCATGTGGCTGCTTTGTATCTGAAGAGGGACTTATGGACTAGCATTGGACTTATGGACATGAGTTTGACTAGGCTGGGATGTTGTCCTGATATATAAAGCTGCTTGATACAAAGCTCTCTCTTATACATATATTGAGTGTCAGTGGTTTTGTTTCTCTAGTCAACCCGGCCTAACACACCTACCTTCAGTGAAAACAAGAACAGCCCTCCATGAGATAGACTGGCAAGTGGCTGCAGCAATGGGCTCAAACAAAAGAACAACTCTGAGGAGGGGACAGCATTTCGTTCTGTTATACATTGGGTCATATGAGCTGGAACCAACTAGACAGGACCTAACAACAACCACCACCACCAGCTTCCCTGAGCCTCTATGCTGCCACCTCTCAGACCCCCAACCTGACCCCACTCCTTGCCCAATGTCGGATGGCTCTCAGGAACTCCAGGTGACTCTCTATTGCAGCCCTGTCTGACTTCCCAGGCTCTTCAGACCAGACAGGTGCTGGCCTGGACCATCAGCCCAAGGCCTGGAACCCTGGGTGACTCCCTATGACAAGAGTCCTTGTCCTCAGCTCCAGGGTTGCTGCGCTGTGAAGCTAAGCTCCCCCAGGGAGCTGGCTTCTGCATCTCCGGGGCCCCTGAGCCCTCCAAACCTCGCCTTTCCCCATAGGCTGTGGATGTTCAAGGTCAGAGACATGCTGACCTGGCCTGACAGCCCACAGCCATGCAGCCCAGCAAGGGACAGGTGTTCAGCAAGCAGGGCGATGTGCCTGCTACTCTCACCTCTGCAATTCGGATCTACCCTTTCCTCCATTTCCATCCCGTCGGAGCACCTGCCACCACCTGGTCCACAGCCACTTACTCTCTTCAGAACCAACTAGATGGCACCTAACAACCATCTTTCTGGAGGCAGCCTGACCTGTCTTTGTCCCTTGGAGTAGCTGGTGGCTTCGAGGCGATGATGCTTTTGTTCAGCAGCCTAACACCAGGCCTCCTTGATACCTCGAATGGGAACACTTCACTCATTCATCTTTATGTCTTCTAGTCCCCAGAGCAGCTTTAGTGGCATCGCGACAACCCTGCGATCTCAGTGTTGGCAGGAGGACTTGCTTTCCTCAAAAGCTCGAGTTCAGACCAGGTCTGGTTGTGTTTTTTACCTTTAAAAAGCCACTTACTCTCTAAAAATAGAAGTGTGTGTTCATCTGGACCAAAACTTGACAGTCGGGCAACAGGTATTAGGTCGCCTTCATGAAAGGGAATGCAGATGTGGATGCAAACAGGGCTGTAAAGAAGTTCAATGTCGTTTGAGCCTTTGCTGAGAATTTGGCATTTCCATCCTAGATACTTGGAACCCAAATATAGATTTTAACAAGATTCTTACGTGGACATAACAAACACCTGAGGTCTTGGTATTGCTTTACAGTCAAAGATAGAGCAGCGTACACCCCTACCACACACAAGATGGCCCACACAACTTTTACTGTGTGTTAAGCAGCCACACAGAGGATATTTTTAATCTGACAACATACTGTATAAAGTAATGCTTTTGGAATGCTCCCAGTCTTCTTTTTGCCCATAAAATAAACCAGCATGTACTTCTACATTCCCAACAGGCAAGGCAGTAGGGAAACCACTCTGGCTGGGCTACACTACACACATATGCCACGCGGTTTCATTTCCTGGGAGTCCACCGCTCAGTGTCTGCATGTTCACACGCTTCCTCCCGGGTTCTTTAGTCTGAGAACTCCAAGTCAGAATACACCACCACTGCTGCACTTGGAGGGACCGCTGCGACACAAAGCTTTTCCAGCAAAACACAAGTCACAAAGGCTCCTGGTCAGCTGAGGTCACTTCTTTTGATTTAACAAGTTGCATAATACACTCGGGCATGTCTTCTAACCTCCCTAGAACTCTCTGGAGACACCAGGTGTTGGAGGCACATGGAAAGCCAGGTCTGTGCGCGTGTCTCTGCACGGACAGCTGCCCTGGCCAGGCCCTCCCAGCCCCAGCACTGCCCAACTCACTGACGCCCACAACAACGCTCTCAACAGTCTTTGCTGGTCTTGCCCCAACTCTGTCACCCTGCCCCTCTGATAACCTCCCTTGTCTCAATTCAAGTGTTTTGGCTCCCTGGCCTTGGTGAGACCTCAAGGAGGAATGGAGAGGTAGGCTGCCTCCAAGGCTCCTGTGCTCTGAGAGCGACTTTCATCTGCTAACACCCAGTTTGGATCACACCTCTTCACTGTCAATGAGCCCACCCATAGCTGCAGTCAATCCTGAAATCCCCAGAGGAAGGATACCCGCCCCACCCCCACCCCCTCCAAAGACCTTGTCTGTCTTCTCCGGCCACACTGCACAAGTTCCTAGCTCCTAAACCTGCTACACCAGTCCTTGGCTCAGGCTGTCTTCTCACAGTTCACCAGCTCCTGGCAGCCCCTCCCAAAGCCTCTCCTGCCCAGGCCAGCTTCTGGGACCATGGCCTCTTCTGCCTCCTGGAATTGGAAGCAGGGCCTGTCCACCTGTGGGAGCCCTGGGGGCAGTACAGCACTTAGCTGATACCCAAAGCCGGTAGTCCCACTACCCACTGCTCGTCGGGAGAAAGAGGAGGCTATCTGCTCCCATAAGCACGAAAGCCTTGGAAACTTCTGGAGCAGTTCGACATCTGTCCTGTGAATCATAACTGATTCAACAGCAGCGGGGTCAGTTGGTTTGGGGACCTGAACAATTCACTTTTCCTATACAGGGCTCTAAGGAGACTCAGTATTGGCTATAGAAAGGCTCGGAGGGCCACACCCAAGTCAGACTGTCTAGAGATACAAAGTGCTAACCCTTGGAGTTCTTCCTCAAGAAAGAAGAGCCATCGCCTCCCTCCCTCTCGCCTCCTCCTCTTTCCCCCTCGGCCTCCTCTTCTTCCTAGCTAGCTGAGAATGCTCTGAAAGGGACTTCCAGCGGCAAGGGCAGGGAAGCCTGGGTGCCCTGTCTAGAATGGTGTCTGAAGATGGTCTGGGTCAACCCCATGAAATCCAACTGAGCAACTCCAGGCTCCTCCTGCCGAGCCTTCGTTTCTGCTCCTCCAAGTGCCCCGTGACCCATAGCCAGAACCCCGCGCACAGAAAGCTCACCATCCCGGTGCCAACCCTGCTTCCAGGCCAGTGGTCACACCAGAGCCTTGTGACAATGGCATCTCGTTGGCCCCACTAAACCCTACCTTGTCCCTGCCCATTCCCTGTGTCCTACCCCAGAGGGGAAGGTCTCCTCAGTCCCCTTAGGAAAAGACTTGCCCCAACTTTCCTTGTCTTGGCCTCCCACCCACCCCCAGACCAGAGCCACTGTCAGCAATGCTGAGAAGCTGGCTGATCCCACCCTGGGTGAGGACAGGAGGCCTCTGGCCACGTGAGGCTCCCTACTCCTGAGGGATGCACAAGAGCTCTTACCTCATCTATTAAAGGGTGACTTTCGGCTAAGGGATCAAAGGGTATGAATACAAAAAGCGCTGGCCCTTTCTTCAGTTCATTGTTCAGCAGAAGGCTCTTGCCTCCGTGAGGCCGCAGCCAGCGGAGGAGTGTCTCCTGGTTCTCTAAGGCCCATTTACAGATGTTCTCAGCGGTGTAGTTCATGACCTCTCTGGGAAAGACCTGTGGAGTGCAAAGGCGCGAGGTCAGGTGCGAGGTCAGTGCTCCACTGGACAGTTCCTGCGGGGCCACATACACCATCTCTTCTGGCAGTTACAAGAGAGCAAGGCCTTACTCAGCTCACAGGTGGTGGGAAAGCTAAAGTATTGATGGGTGACTTTGTCCTCTTCCCCCTCAGTTGACTCATCTCTGGGCATATCCTCCTTCCCTGCTGGGGGCAGCCTGTCCAAGGAGAGCTACTCAATTGTCTGGGCCCTCCAAAAGGACCCTCAGAATGGAAAGCCCCAAGTCAGGGATCACTAAGACTTCTTCTACCTTGGGCCCACAAGAGCTGTGCCCTATGGGTAGGAATGGGTGCTCCCTGAGAGCAGAGACTGGATTATGTTTTATCCTCGGGGCTGGACCACCAGGCACAGAGCTGGAAGTCAACTCATCTCTGAATGTACTCCAGTGAATGGCTTAGGACTGGCCAGAAGCATGGACCACACTGCATGTGGGCTAAATGAAGGGCAAAGGAACACAGACCTTTTGTTTTATGTTTCTATAGCAACCAATTGTCAGCAATCAAATCCATTTCTGTATTTTCCATGACGGAAATTACTGGATTTTAAATCAAACTGTCAAAGCAGTTGGGGGTGGGGGTGGATGTGGGATAAAAGGAACACCATCACAAAGGAAGATGACTCCCCTCCTTCAGAGGCAGATTTCAGAGGCTTCAAAATGAAGGGGCCCATCCTCTTCTTGGTTGATTGGTTGGATGGTTTAGAGAAAACACTCAGGCACAGACCCGCCTCCACATCTCCACCTCCTTAAGAGTCTCCTTTGGTGTCCTTACCAGGAACAAAGAAGGCACAAGTGGGTGTGAGGGGAGCTACATGTGAAGGGTGCAGGAGGCTGGCAGGTGAGGTCAGAAGTGGTGCAGACAGAAGCACAAGGAGGATGGGGGCTGTGGGCACAGGGAGGCAGAAAGACAATGCCAACAGCAGGTCCCCAAGTGGGGGACCAAATATTTGAACGTCCACTTGGAAAACACAGAAATGCGTGTGAACTTCAGGGCCGCCAGCTGCAGAAGCAGAGTACTGAGCATTAAGAGAAAGAGGAGTCTGGGCTAAAAAGGCTGGGCAGCCCTGGGGCGGCTGGTTGCCAGAGAAGTCACACACAGTGAGGCAATGAGCTTGGAGAAACGGGAAATAATCAGAGAAATCCGCTCCCAAGTGGGGCTAGGAGGCAGCAGTGAATGAGAAGCAGGCACACAGACCACACAGAAACTGCAGAGTGGGGGCTGTCCTCCCCTCCTCTCCCCCCAAAGGCAATGAAACTCAGGAGCATGGGCAATTGGGTGGCCAGGGCTCACGGGGCGGAGCCATAACTTCTTAATGGGACACAGAAATGAATAAATTAACATAGTCAGCCGGCAGCTCAACCTCTATGAGTATGGGTGCAGAGAAACAGCCCTCTCACAGGAAACTTCTGGAATTCCTTCCAACCAGGAAAACCAGCAAGGTGATGCTGAAGTCTTATAGGACAGTGATGCCTGGATATAAGTCCTGGGGCCCTTGGGTGTCTGCGCTCGTCGCCTGGGCCTGTGTGGATTAATGTGTGTGCACTTCCTTAGAGACAGCACCCACCACTAACACCCAGTCTTCACAGGAGGCTGCAGCCCACACAAGGGTAAGAGGCACTGCACTCATATAAAGGCAAGTTCAAAATACTTACAAGTGACGTGTTGAAATGTCTATGTAAATACACACTTCCAGAGTGTACTAAGGATACGAGTTTCGCAAGGTGCTTATTTGTGATAACCCCAAATCGAACTGTTCCTAGGTAATCTGAAACAGAAAAGGTTCCCATATTAAAGAAGAGGGCCCATGCCTCGTAACCACCACCAATCCCAGTGATGAACCTTGATGCACACCTGCCCCAAGAGCATGGCTTTGTGGGCCCGGCCTAGTATGGAGACAAGGAAGAGGAGGGGAGCTGACCTCTGTCCTCCACATGCTTCGACACTCGGACCATCACCCCTGCCTGTTCCTGAGGATCTGGCCTCTCTCCTGGCCCCACCCCCCACTCCCGAGGATCTGGCCTCTCTCCTGGCCCCACCCCCCACTCCCGAGGGTCACACCAGCTTAGGCGCATCGCAGTGCCAAGTACTTGCTGATCTCATTCTAGAAACCTCCCTTGGCCGACTCCTCTTTGTATTCAGACCTCAGCTGGGACCTCACATTCTAAGGAACTTTCCCTGACCCCTGGCGGATGAAATCTAAGATGGGAGATGGAGCAGGGGATCTCTCCTGCCCACACTTAGCCGCTCTATTTCTTCCTTTGTAAAAACTTAGTGACTTCTACACACTCTTGCTCAATGGCCTAATTTCCCCTTCGGAACTCAAATCCTACAAAAGCAAGGACCCTGCCCTTTCTGGCTGCTTCCCAGCACCCAAAGCTGGGCCGGAGACACTTAGCCAGGGATCAGTGTGTTCCTGTGGAATAAATGAACCTGCCATTTACACAACGTTCTACAGATCAATAAGGAAAAGAACATGGGTTATAATCAGGCAGGCCACAGAAAATGAAATACAACTGCAGAAAAGGAGACTCAGCCTCACTATTTTCAAGAAAAGCATATGGAAACAAAATAATCTCTCTTGCCCTCAAATTGTCCAAAAATTAAGATTTGGGAAATCCTGAGTCTTGAGGCCCCACAGAGAAATGAGTACGGTGACACAATGCTGGTGGGAAGGAAATGGCACAGACGCGTGCCTTCTTCAAGGCAGTTCCCGCCATTCGGCATCAGCACATGGGGACAGACTACAGGTGCAAAGCCAAGCTACGGAACTTCCACCGTCCACACATAAAAGAAGACTGGGGAAGGGAGTGATAGAGGGGATGATGAGTTCAAGTCCTAGCTGTGAGAAGGAACCACAGGACCCCAGAGAGGTGAGGAATTAACAGCGCAAAAGACCTTACTTTTCCGAAGGGCAGGGGCAGCCTTAGCAGAGGAGCGAGGAGAAGGAGAAAAGTCTGGAGGACAGGCATTTGACATTCTGCCACTCACTGGAGCAGAGGAACAAGAAGCGACAGCCTGTCTCGAGGGCTGAAAGGGCCATTCAAAATGGTTTGACTGCATTCACGAGAAAGGACAGCCTCCTTCACACAACCGCTTCCAGTATTCTCAAACAGGACAATTCACAAACTTCATTTCTCACATACTCTTCAATAAAGCCTCTGCATAATGGAGAAATCTTGCTGAAAGAGCAGTCGGGGTCTGCCGTTGCATGTGAACAAAGAACACTTGGATTCGGTTATAGTTTAAGAATGACGCAAGAAAGTGGTACGCCTAGTCTATGTACCCAGAGCTCTCGACAAGAGGGCTCTTTGTCGTTTGTCAAATGAACTCTTTGGTCCTAATGGTAATAAAACTTCCATATTTTAATTAAGGATTTTGAATGTGTTAACTAATTAAAAATAAATTCTGGATACTATCATCATCCCCAAAGGTCTAACCATGGCAAGATCCAATGCAATTAATCAGAAAAGTCGCTCTGTAAATTGTTAGCCGGGAAATCAGCCAGTTGAAAGTCTCTGTAACAATCAACTCGTGTCAGAAAGATCACCATGAGATGGCGCAAGATCTCTAAAGAGCACGTGGGTGTGGGTGTCAGAATTAAAGTCCTGCAGGGCATGCAGCACCTTGACAAAGAGCACTAGTGGCACCCCACTATTCTGGTACACGGCAGTGTGGTGCACTAGAAACAGCCCAGAGTTTGAGTCAGGAGAGGTATTTTGGGTCCCAGGATTATCAACTAGCTGTGCACCCCTTAAAAAGGCCTTCGACCTCTGCCACCAGTGCCGCCACCAGTAAAGCAAGGAAGTGGGAGAGGAGCTCACACCCCTGTCATCCAGGTCCTCCAGCTGTGACTCCCTAAAGACTCTAAGGTGTTCGCCTGCGGCAAGCTTGCCTGCATCCCCGCTCTGATCCGAGCTAGATCCAGAGCTGCATACAGACCAATGTCTGCATCAGTGTTCTATCGACCAGAGGCTAGAACTGGAGAGGGCTCAGCAGTGTTTACTGGGGCCCAGGCTGGTGTGTCTCTACTGATCCAAAGGGAGTTTCAGACCAGTGCAATCAGCAGAGACTGATACTGCTGCCAAATTTATTGGTGCAGGTGCTGCACCAGTAGGAATAGCTGGTTCTGGTGCTGGTATTGGAACCGTCTTTGGCAGCCGAATCATTGGTTGTGCCAGAAACCCTTCGCTGAAGCAGCAGCTGTTCTCATATGCTATCCTGGGATGTGCCTTGTCTGAAGCTATGGGTCTCTTTCGTTGATGGTTGCTTTCTTGATTTTGTTTGCCATGTAACAAAAATGAATGGCTAGAGATGTTGGCATTCATATTAATTACAGAATGGATATAATTCTGTCTATCTAATTGTGACCCCGAAGACTGTAGTGTTGGTGTCATAGAAATGTATGTTCTTCCCAAAGTCATTTCATTAAAGATGAAAACTTAAAAAAAAAAAAAGACCTTGACCTTTGGTTCTCAGTCCACACTTACACAGGCAGGGGCCGGGCTCTGGGTAGCACACTAAAGCTCTACAGCATGGACTTCAGAGTTGACAAGAACATCTGTGACAGAGCTGCAAAAGGAATTATGAACACCAAGAACCCAAATTCCTTTTGGATATCTGAAGCAGCGATTCATGGGATGATTAAAGTACCGACAAGAGGCTCCTTTTCTGCCTAAAACGCTCGAAACATTGATAGGAGCATTGACAAGTAGCTCCGACTAGGCAGATGAGACGGCATAAAGCCAGAAAAGTTAGGAGGCTCTACGCACGAGTGACACAAAGAAGAACCTTGACAGAGTACAAGAGTATCCGGTGGGCAATGAATGTACAGATGCGCTTTACACAATAGATGTATGCATGGATTGTGATAAGAGCTGCATGAGCCCCTAATAAAACGATAAAAAAAAAGAGAGTATCATGTGCTACCTCATGTAAGTGAGGGGTTATAAGACATAAACATGTGCAAAAGAAAGCCAGGAGAGGTGAATGAGTGGGGCGGGAGGAAAGAAAAAAAGAAATAGAGGAAACAACTCAGGAGTAAAAATCATATATATAGATAGTTATGTATAGATGTAAAGATATATAGAGATAGGTGTATTTATCTGGGTATGTATATGTAAGCAAGTATAATAGGGAAGTAGACGGACTTCGGGTCTCTACTTAAATCCTACTTCAGTACAAGAACGGATTGCACTAATAATGTGGCAATGTAGGATACTCATCTTCCCTACACATTGCTGAAGACAAAAAGGGTGCATAAGCAAATAGCGGGGGGGAGGCAGCAGAAAAAAAAAGCAAATGTGGTAAAGAAAGCTGATGGTGCCTGGTTATTAAAAGATATAGAATCTTAGAATCTGGGGTCTTAAAGGCTTGGAGTCAAACAAGCGGGCATCTAACAGGGAAGTAATAAAGCCCACATGGAAGAAGTACACCAGCCTGTGTGATCATGAGGTGTCCACAGGACAAGGTATCAGAAGTTCAAAAACAAGCAATCAAACTGACGTGAGGGAACATAGGCAAAGTGGAGACCCAAAGCCCACCTGTAAGATAACTGGACAGTCCCTCACAGAAGAGCCACACAGAAGGGACGATATATCCAGGATGCAGTAGAGCACTGATGAAACACACAACTATCCTCTAGTTCTTTAAAATTTCCTCCTCCCACTACTATGGCCCTTGTTTCACCTCACTAACCTTGTTAGTCCTGCATATGTACATGGGCACAACCAAGATCTTTTGATGAATGAAATTTAAGATAGATTATCCCCTCAGAAACATTAGGGGGAGTACTGACTTCCTGAGGATAGGGGAAGAGGAGAGGGGAAGAAGTGGGGAAAGGGACCAGGTAGCTGTGATGACTGTAGAACCCCACTCTGGATACATGGGATAGTGTAAGTTAAGGCAATAATAATAATATATAATATACTGAGGGTTCAAGGGAGAGATAGGGTATGGGGGGCGGTAGGAGGCGGATAAATGGGAATTGATATCGAGGAGTTCAAGAAGAAAAGAATATGTACTTAAAAAGATGAGGGCAGCAACTGTACGAGTAGGCTTTATCTAATGGAACTATGGATTTTAATAGTACCTGTAAGAGCTCCTAATAAAATGTTTTATTAAAAAAAAGAAAGCCAGGAGTGAGAAGGCAGGGGTGAGAAGGGCTGGTTATTTCTAAGAAGCAGTGGGTACAGGATGGAAAGAGAAGGGATGGAGCAGGTAGGAGGGCCCGGCATCCCTGCACATGCTTGCTGAGTGGGTTACATAGCAAGGACTTATTGTCCCCTGGTATGAAGCAGCTCCCGTGACTGGCAATGCAGGAAACCAAGTAGGTCAGGGCGACCACAGTGTGACCACTGTGCAGCCCTGGGCCCATCAGTGCAGATCTCCCACGGGGCCTGGAAGAAAAGGCACCAACTCTCAGAGCAGACAGACCCTCATGATGTTTGCTGGGCTCGGGGTAAGGCCATCTTACTTTGCCATATGAAATCTTGACCCTCTCAGCACTGTCCTTCCCGAGTTTGGGGTTCTTCCCAGCTGTAATGGAATGCTGTATCCCTGATTGCCACACACCCTGAGAGTAACTACCGCTGTCCCATGTGGGCCTTCCAGGTGCCGCTGTCACTATTTCTTTCCCTCAGGGCAACCACCAAGGATGCACTGAGGACAGAGGGATCTGCCATCCCAGCAGACACCCCTGCTTAAACCCATAGGCTTCTCTGGTTTACACCAAGATTCTTCTGTGTAACCTTTTCCTATCACACTGCG